ATATATATATATATATACATATATACATCATATATACACATACATATATTTATATATACACACACACTTATATATGTCAGGCATCTCCTAATAACACAAATAGATACTGAGGAATGTGTCACTAGATAATTTCATCCTTGTGCATTCATCATAGCCTGTACTTAGACTACACATCTACTGTTTCACTCAGAGATATAATCTTACAGTATCATTATAGTCTGTGTACCACATCCAAGTCTGAAACATCATTTTGTGACACATGACCGTGTGTGTATCTCCAGCTGAAATCATTAACTTGTTGAAAAAGTTTAAGATGCAAATTTCAGTGGAAAATATCCGTGTAGATAAAAGTGTATGTAATAAGAGATCCAGCACTACTCCAAAGCAGCAGTGTAGCTGCTTTCTTGGGTCGTGTAGTAGCAGTTTTCCAGTCACATAGTAAGAATCAAGTCATATAATAAAAGAGAACAAAACAATTATTTTATTTAAATAGTGATTTGGAAATGAAGGGGCTTTCTGGATTTTGGTATGCAATTTGTTTCTGAGGTTCTGACCAATTCTAGCGCTTTATGTTATTTCAGTCTTCAATGTCAAATAACATTTTTTGAATTCATCATCTTTTTAGGCTGTTAAATACCAAAAGTTTCAAGCCTTTGACTGGGGAAGCAGTGCCAAGAATTATTTTCATTACAACCAGGTAAAGTTTTCAAGTCTTTTCATTACAACAGGCCCTGAGAACTCACCCAGGCAGCCTTCCTGCATTATCAGGACTGGTTGGGCTCAGGTGTGTGCATGTGCTGGGAAAGGTTGACTACATCCTCTTAGTTTTCCTTCAGTCCCCTCCACAAGGACCCAGGCTTTGCACTGGGGTTGTGGACTGGGCACCCTCTCTCTTTGTGCTTTCCCTGGCTCCAACACTAGTATGCGTTACTCGGAGTGATCATGAATGCACCCTTGATCTATTTACCTGCTAGCTTTGGCCATATTATGTTGCTATGCCTCTTCTTCCATCTGCAAGCTCCTGTTCTGAGTGCTCAGTGAACTACACTATGCAATATTTTACCTGTATTTTTCTTATTTTTTACAATATCTGTGTGATATACATATGGTTATCTCTGATTTAAAGATGGAAAAACATTATCAGAGAATTCCTATGATTTGTCTCTCACCTAGAAGGAGAAGGTAGGAGGGCAGTACTCCAAAGCCCTTTCCAGGTTGCTTGGTTCTCTTGTAGCATCTACTCCCTGCTGAGAACAATGGCTTCCTTACTGGCTATTAAACAGTCAATATAGTGTCAGCACGGAGCAGCTGCTCCATAACTCAGATTCTTTCATTATGGGTTGAATGACTTTTTTGCAAAGGCAACCTGAAAAGTGTACTGAAACAGATTTTCAAAATTTAGTCTCTTATGCTCAGATCAGACTTACTGTACAGTGTTTGATGGAGGTTGTATTCAATGTGACTTTGAAAATTATAACACCAGTGATTTCTGTTGCTTTCTCTGCATGTAGAGTTACCCTCCTGTGTACAATGTGAAAGACATGCTCGTGCCCACTGCCCTCTGGAGTGGAGACCACGACTGGCTTGCGGATGCCAGCGACATCAGTGTCTTACTGACTCAGATCCCCAACCTGGTGTACCACAAGCGAATTCCTGAGTGGGATCATATTGACTTTATCTGGGGCTTGGATGCCCCTTGGCGGATGTACAATGAAATTGTCGATCTGATGAGGAAATATACATGAAAACCAAATTTCAGGCGTGGACCAGCAAGTCATGTGAAAATGTGTTTGCTTGATTTCTGTAAAATACTTATTTTCCTTTCCCAGATCTTTTGTGTTTTTATAGGCAAGAATATTATAACTTTGAAGATGGCCAGTTCTCTACAGTTAGGATTGGAATCACACTAGTTCTATTTTGCTTACTTATGGCTGAATATGAATTCAGTGTCATTAACATTATGTTGTCTTTTATTTTTTTGGTACCGGGGATTGAACTCTGGTCCTTGTGCTTGCAAGGCAGGCCACCGAACCGCTGAGCTAAATCCCCGGCCCTTATGTTGTCTTTTAAAATCTTGAAGTAATACCACTGGCATGCAATAATACATATAAAACTATTCTGTTTCTCGTTACAATTTAAAGTTTCTCTATTGCTTTTTTACCCCTCCCTATCCAGGATAAATTAATAGATGTGTTGAAAATTTTACACTGATTGTTGGTAAATAGTCTGTCACTGACTCAAGCACAGTATAAAAAGAAATATTCAGGTCTCATCTCCTTTCCTTAAAGGGCTCCCTAGTCTAATTTTCTTATATTTAGGGGTCTTAATAAAACTTTGTCATGCTTTTATATAGTAGATACTTAGCCAAATTCAGGGCTATCCTAGCTGTACCAGTAGTAAAGATTCCTTAGTGAGTTTTATCAGACCAAAATAACAAATGTTTAACAAATATTAAAATTGCTCAGGCCAAGCAAAATAGCTTGCTAAGGTTTTGAAGAGCAGGTTGCACTGATTTATAAATAACTTGAAGACTGATACATTCAACTGTCTGTATTTGTGAACTCTAGATTGGATGGCATGCTGTAATTCTACTTGTTTCAGGAGAAAGGTACTGTGGAGAGACTATAAGGAACTATGAAACAGCTGCTGTAGCTCAGTGATGATGTCATTGTGAGGCCAAAGCCCTGTGGTCCCGCATGAGGTGTCCTGGTTCATTTGCAGTCATATAAAATGTGAATATGAATGTCTCAGATTAAAGTTCAGCTCAGGAATTCATTTTATATTTTCGTTGAGTTTCACCTGCGTTTTTATAAGCCTCTTTTGCATCCGTATATCAGGAAGCCTATGTCTGCTTTTCTTGCAGCATTGTGTCCTTATAATACTGTCAGGTGGACAGAATGGTAACTGATATATTTTTCTGATGCAGTTACTTATGCTAAAATAGAAATACGTGGTATTAACTATGTGTGGACTGAATAATACAACTTGTAACATTAAGATATTTTATTTAAACTCCCCAATAAACATCCGAGAGCTTCATAGGCCTGAAGAATTGTGTGTTTTCTCCTTTTTTAAAAAATGACCACTTCATTCTTCCCTTTTTCTTCAGACAGGGATCATGTTTTTCTTTCTCATCTCCCTTTCCTTTTTCCTCCTTATGAACCTCACTGATACCAACCATGAATGTTTATTCCTTTCCTAGGGGGAAGAGGAAAGGATCCCAAGCCCAAGGAGGGCTGGAGGGTAGTTTGGAAACTTAGGCTCAGATGTTACCCTGCATGGGTCATGTTAATGAGACCATGAATAGGGATTAGGCAGTAAGGAAACCTTATCTACAGGCAGCGTCTGGCCACAGATAAGACCATAGGTCTAAGAAATTTTCATCCTTGAACAAAGGAGGGATCTGCAGTCAGCAGAGACAGCATACACCATATGCACTCCCTCCAGATTTGAGGCCCCATGCAATCTTTTCACTATTGTATGAACCCAGAGTCTAACTCAGGTCCTGGAGAATAGTGAGCCAATAAATTGCGGACTGACAAAATTGTGAAACAGTGGACTTCTTCATTTAGCAAAATGAAGTTAGAAATACAAGTAACATCTGGGAGGGTCTGGATATAAAATTGGTGTGATTTTCCCATAGCAAGCACAGTAAAAAGTGAAGTTGTACTTTACACAGGGGTGTGCATCACCAAGAGGGTGCCACCCTCTTTGCTGGCCATACATTCCTCCAAGGAGCTATCCTGTTGCCTTCTACTAAGGCAAACTGACCAACCAGGTACAGATACCTACTGGGTAGGGCTGATTAAAAAAAGACAGTGTGTGGACATTTTTATTTGTTGTTTTCTCCATGAGTGGGGAGAACTTGCCAGAGAATGACTTCATTGTCATAGGTGACTTGCTCCTCTTGCTGTAGCTGTTGCCATTGGAGCTCATGGAGATTCCTTTATAAGCTGTGATTAGGCAAGTTCTTGCACACAATTTGAGACAGCTGTCACATGAGTTAATAGGTCTTTCACTTTTCCTTTCACAGGTCTTTTTGAGTCTGTGAAAGGTGGAGACTTTCAGGCCCCAGCTTTACTGGAGCTTCCTTATTGGCAAAACCAAAATGTTTTAAACTATTCTGCTGGGCTCTTTGCTCTTGATTCTCAATGTAGAGCTGGCTAAAAGCCCTCAACAGTACCCAAGCCACAGCCCAATGTTTGACTGCCTGGAAATTTCCACCACCAGATTAATCAACCCACTGTCCTTAATCTAAGTCTCTCACAAAATGTCTGGACATGAGCAAAATGCAGATTAATTTTCAGACACAGCATAACACAAAAGGTCTAGGGTCCAACTTCCCAACCTTTTGAGCCTGGTCTTTTCTGCCCCGTTATGTAAACATCTGTTCTTCTGAGCTCTGACCACAATCTCCCATCAAGCTTGGCTCACAGCATTCTAGAGTTCTTTTTTCCAGCCAGCATCTCCGATCCTTTCAAAACTCCTCCAGTGAGGCATTTCAAGAGGCTTCTGAACCACATGGTCATGTAGCCTCACAGCAACAACCCTACTCTTGTTACTGAAGTCTGTCTTAGTTACTTTTCTTGTCCCTTGGACACAATACCTGACACCTGCAAATCTAAGGAGGAAAGGTTTATTTTGTCTCACGGTTTGTAGAGATTTCAGCCCGTTTTCGTCTGTCTCCAAGGCAGGGTATCATGTCAGTTGGGCATGGCAGAGCATTGCTTGTGGCATGGTAGGTAGGAAGCCAAGGAAGGAGAAAGGGAGAGACCCTTCCATGCCATGCCCCACAGACTCACCTCCTCTAGTCAGGGCTCACCTTCCAAATCACATGCAGCTATAAACTCATCAGGAGACTAATCCACTGACAAGTGCCACACCCTCATGATCAGATATTTAAACAACATCAAGAATATGTAAGCCAGGTGTGGTGGCCCAGGCCTATAATCCCAGCACTTGGGAGGCAGAGGCAGGAGGATCACTATGAATTTGAGGCAGCCTACACTACATAGTGAGATCAAAGCCATCCTGAACTGCATATCAAGATCCTGTCTCAAAAAAAAAAAAATTAACATAGCTTCATTCATCATTAGCTGAGAGTTAAAACTTCTGCCATATGACATTCTGTGACAATTTGCTAGAGAGTCCTGCTCTGTTCTTTACAGTTGGCATTGATACATTTTCTGTTTAGCATAACACAAAGATTTACAAGGGTCTCTAGGCCAATATTTATATAAGTTTGCCAACATGGAACTTTTCTCTAAGATACAGTGTTTACAGGGGAAAATGAAGGATTACAAAATAAATTGCAATAAAGAATGAAGAAAAAAATCATTTTTCTGTATTCCGCCAGAGGGCACTCTTGGCTTTGCATGCAAATCTTCCTCAGTCCCCTAGTTTTTTTTCTCCCTTTTATAAAATTGCCTTTTATTGAATTTTATTCATCTCTGCTCTTTCTTAATTCTTTCTTTGATTAATTTTTTATTATTACATGTTTGCTGTACATAATATTACATCTATTGTGTGGGAGTTTGTACATGTACACAACACATCTGAATTCCTTTTTCTCCTCCTTCCCCTCCCATTGCTTCCTGCTCCCTCCAACACTTGAAAAGAGGATTTCTCTGGGGCTTTCCTCTGGGAAAGAAGAGAACTTTGCAGCTATGTGAACCGGTTAGTAATTTGATTCTGGATAAGGCTAGCTCTAGCTGTGGTCATTTCCATCCAAACTTATACTTAATTTTGCCTAATAACATCTGAAAAAATATTCTCAAGGAGTGGCTAATCCCAAATGTGACCTAAATATAAAAATTTGTAAATTAGGTAAATGAATGATCAGAATTTTGCCCATGGGGTGGGTGGATGGGTGGAACTGGAGAAGGCTTTAATTCAGAACTCACCTTTATTAAACACCAAAATTTTGTAGCACTGTCTCCAAATAATAAAGTTTATTTCATAGCTTTATTAATGGAAGCTACTAACAGTGTTAATTGTAAACATTTAAAATATTCTGTAATTCAATCTTTTGCCTTTTTTTATACATGGAGAATTTTTTTCAAATTTGTAGTGATCTCTCGTGATGCTTGATAGGCGACATTGGGTTAGTAATTATTCTGATAAAAATTGTCAGTCATCGAAGAGTATTTATTGTGTTATATATGTGCAGATATCAACTTCAGTTCTAAACTAAGAAATAAAACTGTATCTCTGCTGAGTTATCTAGTACTTGTAAAAATAATCATTTTCATTTTACATTGTGCCATCTGGGTTTTTTAAGCCTTCTCATAAGGCTGTGATCACTGTAACAACCCTTTTGACAGTGGATGGTTAGCATTTTTCCTGCTTTATGGTATGTTGTTTATTGGGGTGATTTTATGTGTGTGAAATATTTTACAGAGATGGATGAGAGTTCCAGTCATATCAGTAGAAACACCTGCTTACATATGATATAGATGGATCAAAAATACAAATGATTTAAAATCAAAATATGCACCAGTATCTAGGGTTATAGGAATAGCAAGGCAGCCTCTTGGAGTGAAGAACCTTCATATTCTTCATCGAAGTTTACGTTTTTGTGTGTGGCGACTTAATGTTTTCTAAATCTTTTGTAAATTGACACAAAAAAACAGCTTCTGTATCCCCTTCCAATATCAAACTCCTCCAGGAGAGATACTCAGCTTAGAGCTGACACTGCCTGAGTGCCACTCTACTTGCCTGTAATTTACTGTTCAATCTCGGTAGGTCTTGACTTTTCTGAGACCAAAACTTTAAGCATTAGTCCTTAAAACTCAGATTTAGAGTCTGACTTTTGAGATTGCTCCACTTCTGTGAGTATTACACATTATACAACACTACAGATCTCTGATAGCCAGAAAGAGTAGTTTTAGTTAGTAGCTGCCAAGACTCTGACTTTATTTTAGAAAAGAATCACAAAAGTGATTTTAGAAGAGATTATATGATTGGAAACAGGCTTTGCAAACTACGTATTCTATTTTCAGGAGGGGGCAGTATTCAGTGTCTTTTGGTAGGATGCTACCAAATAATTTCAAGAATGCATTAAATATGGACATGCTTGTAATCTCAAAAAAGTGACTCTTGTAGAAACTAGAAAAAAGGGATTCCTGTCTTCCAATTCTGTCAGGGAGATCCAGTTAAGACAAAAATGATACATAAGAAGTCATGATAACTGGAGAAGTATAAGAAATAATGTGGCCAAAGTACCAATGATCTCAAATCAGGAAACATCTCCCTGCTTGGTGTAGCTAACCACATAAAAAAAATGAAACAAAACAAAACAACAACAACAACAAAAACAACATCTACTATTACTCCGGGAAAAAAAAGATTTTATCTGTAGCCTCACTTTGAGCCAAAATCTTTTAAAAGGAACACCTGGTACCTTTTGAGCACTCACTATGTATATGATACAATACTTAGAACTAGGGTTGTAGGTCAGTGCTAGATCATGTGCTCAGAATGTGCAGGGCCTGGGGTTCCATCACAGACACACACACACACAAATTAACATTTGACACTGTGGGAAAATGTTCTGGAAAATACATCTTGGATTCTAAAGGGAACTACTCACCTAGAAAGCTGTTAAGTTTTTGTGCATGGGTTGTATTTAGAGGGGTAAGTTTGCCAAATTCAACTACTGGCTTTGTTGAAGTCACATAAAGACTTCAATTTTATCCTGGTCCATTCAGTTTTGACTGATTTAGATTCATCTGACATATTCTGATGACTTTTTTGGCATCCTTCATGACAGAAAGAGATGGCAGAAAAGATTTTCCCTGACCAGTTTCCCTGAGATGGGTGCATTTGTGCATGGCATGAGGACTTCATGTGCCAGGGTGGCAGAGAGGCTGCCTGCTCTTCTTCAAAGTGCTGTGAGGAGAGGGCTTGGGGGTGGGGTGGACAATGTAGGTTGAAGCTTGACCTTCAGGTCTAGATACATAGAGTTGGAAGTCATTAGCACCTGAAGTCCATTCCTGTGGGAACAGAGGACAGAACCACCAAAGTAGGACAAGAACAGTTTTACTGGTCTGGGGGCTCAAAGGTGCAGTCCTGACAGCAAATCTAATAACTAAGTCCAAATTATGCTTACCTGCCAATGCCACCCACTCAAAAATCCAAATCATCCGTGCATGAGAACCAAGACTTCAGCCAGGGAAAGGACACCATGTGCTGAAAAAAAATTTGTTGATTTCATTTGTTGAGGGTCAATTTGAACAATATTTATTAACAGAATCCGTTTGTAATTCTGAGAAACCTATTGGTCTCTTTACAGCTTCCAGGGGGCACAAGAATGAAGGACCAAAAATCCTTTCTCTTCTCTAAGACACTGCATCAAGATAGACATTTTAGTCTACCAGGAATGACAAAGAAGAAGGTTCTAGCTTGCCTTAAAAGCGAAGTGGGAACAGCATTGAGGAGGGGAGGCCAGAAGGAAAAGGAGATTGTCCGTGTCTCACAGTAAGAAGCCTGCCAGTAGTGAGACCAGGGGCCTACAATGAACCTATTTTCTGCTATTGTTCTAGACATCAGAGCTACATTAGAAAGTCTAAATTCTTACCCTCTTTATTTTCACTATTAAGAAACTCAAAGCTGCTGCTGACCCTTTATGTCATGAACAGAAATTTGACAGCAGGGTAATATTTTTATGGCACACAGGGGTTTAAAAAAGAAGGCTGCTGTAAGGCCTAAGCAGTGACAACAAGATTTTAAGTTTCAATGATGGCAAAACAATCCACTGCAACACATGTGCCATAGGTTTTACTGCTACTGTTCCAGGGACCCCAAGAATGGGTGTCCAAAGACTGTTCAGATTCCACTAATGGCAGTTCTAGGACACAAAATGGGAGGTTTTGAATGATGAATTTGTTTGTTTTGTTATGATGTGTACATCATATTTATTTTATGAATTGGTCTATATCACGTATGTCCTATATATTATTATATTTTAGGCCTATGCATTAGTCTGTGTTTTTATAGTACTTATTCTTCATACTACATGGCTCTATATATTTTATTTCTCTTTACATAATTTTATTTGATTTTAATTTCAATAGTCTCAATCTTTAGGTAAAATGTGGAGTACAAATTAAAAATAATATGTTTTTAATTTTGTGAGCTAGGTACTGTGATTTTAGTGCTGTAAATACACACACACACACACACACACACACACACACACACACAAATAAGAATATACGCTTCTTGCCAGAGGGGGAACACAGCTCTTGGAAATTAGATGAAATCTTGCTATTGAAAATGCTTAGCTAATGCTAGGCATTACAAGGTGAATGTATTTATTTTTTCCATTTAATGCTCACAACAGGCATTGTTTTTGTTTCCTTTTGGGTGGATGAAAAAATGCAAGTTTCAGGGAGTGACAGGTGGACCTCAGACTCAGATGCAAATGGCAAAAGCTGGACTTTAGAGTGGTCCCTGGCTTCAAAATTATTATCCAAAACTTAAAATTTAAAGAAAATTGATTGGCATACCCTTGCAGTACGTACGTCTCAACATTCTTTGTGTGGAGTTGGTAAGTGTACATAACACACCTTAATTCCTTTTTTCACCCCTTTCTCTCCCCAGGCTCTTGATTCCTTCCCATTTGAGCAATATCTATCTCCCTATTTCCTATTATCTATTTTTCATGTTGCTCTTTGTTTATACTTTGGGTTTCTCATATAAGAGAAACTGTGCAATAGTTCAACTCGTGTGTCTGGTTTATTTCACTTAATATTGTGTTCTTACGGACTACCCATTTTCCTACAAAGATTTAAATGTATCTTTTTTTTTAATGACAGATCTTTTAAGGGTCTCTTGTGGTCAGGGTGAGTTTACCAAATGGTTTAAAGGTATAGGGTTGGTTTGTTTTTAATGCCTATCCGGGAAGCCTCTCAGAGCTTTCCTAATCCGGACTCTCTTGCGTGCAATCCCTGACTAAATCACCGTGCTGGTTGAGAAACGAGGGGCATGGCGAGGTACTGCTGTTTGGGCCGGGAGCACTCTTTGGGGAAGAAACGGAGTGAAAAAAGTGGGCGCTAAGGCTGCCACCCAGGAGAGGCCAGCACTTTCCCAGCCTCCCACGGTCTTCAGGAGCACACGGGTCCTCCGTTGGGGGTAAAAGTAAGCGATTTTCGGGTTCAGTCCTTTCCATCTATCACTGACTCCCGACGTTCTTTTTAGCCGACTCTGACGACTTTGGGCTTTAAACGCAGCATTTTCTCCGCACAGCGGAGCATGGCAGGGGCTGCCTCGCCTGCAGCGGTACCGCCCAGGTCGGGGCTCTAGTGCGGCCGCCTCTGACGGTGCCAGGGGGCTGCCGCTCCTCAGTCGCGTGGTTCCTCCGGCTTGCTGCGATCCCGACCCGAAAGCTTCTTGCGACCCTGGCCGACCACCCTCCTGGAGGGAATTCAGAGCCGACTCCCACTCGGGGTGGCCCGGGGGGCTGCGCTCCTCTCTGCGGAGGAATCGACCACTCCAAGGCGCGTGCAGCAAGACCTGAACTGCGCAATTTTCCTCGCTTTAAAGTTTTTAAAGTGCTGTTATGCTTGCGTCTTGAAGAAAGCACACTGTTGCAGTTAGGAGCACTTTCTGGTAGTGAGGGAAATACTACTTTGGGAGCGACGATGACACAAGTAAACTGAGTTGCTTAAAGCCATGGGAACTCTTCAGTGTAGATCTGTACAGTTGTATCTGTACAGTAAACTGAAAACAGAACGTAATCCTGCACGCACACAAAAAGCTTCTAAGTGTCACTGCACACGTGCATGTATAGGACAATTAGATTCAGCTCTATTGCGAATATTTTACAGCAAGTGAGGGCAAACGTTTGGATTGCATATTCGAGTTTCCTGCAGCCGGGAAAGAGAGTAAAAAGCCTTCTGACATCACACGGGGCGGGTCCTCGAGCCCTAAGAAAAGTTGGTGGAATTGCGAACTGTGGCAGCTGTCAGGCTCAGCCTCACCATGAGCGACCACAACAGCTCCGAGCCCCAGGTCCTGTGCAGCTCGGACCGGCCGCTCCTGCAACCCCTCTGGGATCGTGTGAGGACCTGGGAGGCGCTCGTCCAGTCGCCCCTCTTCCCGGTCATCTTCGCGATCGTCACCTACCTGGGTTTCTGCCTGCCTTTCGTAGTCTTGGACTTCTTGTGTCCCCGGGTGCCCGCGCTGCGACGCTACAAGATCCACCCGGACTTCTCGCCCTCCGCGCGGCAGCTGCTGCCCTGCCTGGGACAGACACTGTACCAGCACCTGGTGTTCGTGTTCCCGGTGACGCTGCTCCACTGGGTCTGCAGCCCCGCTTTGCTGCCGCCCCAAGCCCCGGAGCTGCTGCAGCTCCTGCGCGACCTTCTGCTCTGCTTGCTGCTCTTCGACGCCGAGTTCTTCGCGTGGCACGTGCTGCACCATAAGGTGCCCTGGCTGTACCGCACCTTTCACAAGGTGCACCACCAGAACGCGTCCCTGTTCGCGCTCGCCACTCAGTACATGAGCGTCTGGGAGCTGTTTTCCCTGGGCTTCTTCGACCTGGTGAACGTCAGGCTGCTCCGGTGCCACCCGCTCACTGTTCTTACCTTCCACGTGGTCAACATCTGGCTGTCAGTGGAGGACCACTCGGGCTACGACTTTCCGTGGTCCACGCACAGACTGGTGCCTTTCGGCTGGTACGGGGGCGTGGCGCACCACGACCTGCATCACTCTCAGTTTAACTGCAATTTCGCCCCTTACTTCACCCACTGGGACAAAATACTGGGCACTCTGCGGGCCGCACCCCTCCCAGCGTGGTGCTGTAGCTGTGGCGGGTGCTCCTCAAACTCTGGGCTGCTGTGCGATTCACGCTTGAATCAGAAGAAACATTCATGAGCGTTTTAAAAAAAATACGTTTTCTACTTTTTTAATACTGGTAACTTATTAACTGATGAAAACTGACGATAGATAAAATCTGATCTATTGTTGCAATCTGACAGTAACTTATACAGTGCTTGTATATCCACACAATTATATTCTTGGTGTTAAATTCTAGATCATTTCAATAGCCTTGAGTCCTGGATGGAAATTAGACATTCATCACCGGCATATTTAAATACTCTCTAAAAGGATTTCTTACAATAACAAAAACTCTCCTGTGTGTGAAAGTGTCCTAAAACTGGGCTAAATGAACTTATTTAAAGGAAGATATGACTTTTGAATTTATAATCAAATATGTTCCTGCTGGACAGTGACCAAAATTGTAGTATCTTTTTCTAATTTTCGAAGAAATGTGTATTTATATTGAAAACAGTTATTTGTCCTTTTAAAATGAAAAAAAAAGAATCAAACATTTACTTGTTTCTGTTTTACTGACATTTTGATGGATAAAGCTAAAAAGGGAATGGGGAGCTGGGATGGTACGAGTTCTTCAGTTCCATCAGCCCTACTGTGTGAAGTGAGGACTCTGATGGTGGGCATTTTGAGGGCGAGGGAGGCACAGGAAAGAAGGGAAGAAGGGGCTAGTTCATCTCTTTTGGTCTAGAGGTTTCACAGAGAGAAAAAAACTGTCATTTTGAAGTCTTTCAGCTGATTTCTGCACAGTGCACAAATGAAAAAATTATTGTCGAGTTTCCCATTGGAGATTTACTGGGTTATTTGGAGTATAGTGTATAGGGGATTTATAGCATAGCCTCACTTTGCAAAACTGGTGAGTTCAGTATGTGTGCATTTGAGCAACTGATCAATGTGTAGAAAGCAATTTTAAGTAAGCCCCCTTTCCACAATGCCGTTCTTAGCCTATTCAAATGACCAACAAAACATCACCTCTTTGATCTGGAATTTGTGTATTTGTCATTTTCATAAGACATTTATGCAAATATACTGCTTCTTTCTCAAAGAGAGAGAAAGTGAAGTTTGGCCCTGGATCCCAGGTTTCTGGTGTGTATAGAGATGATGCCCCAGATGTTCTTGCAGAGTACTTAGGACAATAAGTGTCTCTACCACTGGTCACATTATCTGTTACCCATCTGGATGCTGTTTAATTATTTCAATGTTAACTTTGGAATGCAGTTTATGTAGGGTTAAGTTAAAAATAAAGATGATTTCAACAGAAGTCTAAAAAGGACAGTAGCGTTGCAGGTAACCCCTAGGTTCATTACATATGAGCCACACTGTTTTGTTTAAATGTAAAAAAATAAAATTCATATAAACCCTGGTCTGCACAGTGTGCTGAAAGAGACTCTTGTGAAATATCCTCAGGCCCTCCCAAATGATGGAGTGTGTAACCAGAATGCCTGTTTCTCTGATGTTCATCCCAACTTGTGTTCCCTCTGCTTCTAGGCTGAAGTTACTCGGTCCAAAGCAAGACAAGCATGGAACTTAAAGATCACATTAATTCATAAAAGTGAAATCTGCCAAAAGAAGAAGCGAGGTGTGAGGTGAAAATGCTGCAGTGTAAGTAGTAGGTCAATGTCATGGTATATATGGTGAATGGGGAAAAATTTGAAGGATAAACAGCAAGGTGTGAAATTTGTTGTATAATTATTAGTTGTTGGGATCAGGCATAAAAAAACACCCTGTAAATCTTGAATAATGACAATTTGTCACAGATCACCCTCAGAGATTTAAAAAATCTAGTCAGTGTTGCCTTACTATAGAAGGGAATTTTAGATTCGAAGCAAATCGCTCAAGTGGAAAATGTTAGGATTCAGAAACTTTCTCAAGATCATCTGTCAGCTTTTAAGCCTTGAGAAGTGGACCTGGGGAAGTGGAGAGGGTGGACGACTTTTCAAATAGTTTGAGCACTTCATCGTAATTATGAATAATTATATTTGAAGGCACTTTCACACTTGATTACAGTTGATCTTTGTGACACACTCTAAGGGGTATAAGACACTGATATGGTTCACATATGTCCCCTGCAGCCTTACTGCTCTGTAGGTGGGGTGTTTCAAAGGTGACTGGTCTATGGAGATGTGACAGCTGACTTGCTATCAGCAGGTGGGGCCTAGTCAGAAGCAGAAGTGACACATCACCTGGAAGGGTGGAAGTCCCTCACAGGCTCCTTCCTCCTCTCTTGGTTTCCCAGCTGCCTTGACGTGAGCAGCTTCTCTCCCACCATTCTCTCTGCCATGCTGCTTCTTTGGAGCCAGCCAACCATGCACTGAAACTTGAGCCAAAAATAAACCTCTCTTTCTTCACATTTTTGGCATTGGGTATTTTGCCCCAGCGATGAGGAAAGCGACCAAGGCAGAACGTTATCATCATAATCATCATCTCATGTTACAGAGGGAGGCTTGGTGCCCTCAGCAGTTAAATGCCTTTTTCTAAGTAATTAGGAGCAAGTTCTCCTAAATTTTGGTTTCATAGCTTTACTATCCTTTTTTTCTCGTGTTTACCATAATTTTCACAACTTCTGGAGGGAGGCAAACCGTCAGAGGCAACAAATAGTTTCTGCTCTTCCTTCTCATGGCTGTGACACACGGGTGCTTCTGTGGTCTGCTGCTTTGACAGTAATGCTGATGTGTGAAAGCTTCTGCACAGATTGGGGGAGAAAGCCAGGGAAGGAGACCTAGGTTAGCCACTATGTAACATGTATGTAGAGGTGGTAGGTATGTATAAACACACACACACTATCATTTTTTTGTCCTACTTAACATTTATGTCTTCTTCCAGCTCTGTGCCTTGTTCTTGATATATAGCCTTAGCAGGACCTGAGAAAGCAGGAAGCAAGTCAAGAACTGTGTTTTCTGCATCTCTGTTTGTCCCTGGGCCACGAGCATAAATGCTGAAACCAAGATACCTGGGTGTGGAACTTGGGTTCTGGGAGTTATTAGCTGAGCAACTTCAGACAAGTTACTTAACCTCTCTGTGTTGGCTTCCTCATCTACAGAAAATTGTTTATCATAAAAATCTTTCTCACAGAGCTGTTGTGAGTTTTTGCATAACCAAATGTCAACTTCCAGGAAAGTTGGAGGTCTAGGTGTGGTCTTGTTTACTGTGATCAATGCTGTACTATCCCAGCACCAGAATTGTAGTTCAGAACTGAAATTTCTGTCCACAAACACGAGCTCTCCTGTCTTCTCGGGGGCCAACTAAAGTTGAATTTTTAATTCTATTTCCACCACAAATTGTTTCTCTAGTCATCCTCCCAAGACAACAGTTTTGGAAACCTAGATTTTTGTCATTTTACTTTCTCAATTCTGAGTCAATGTACTCTACCTCTTCCTGAAACTTACTCTGGGCTTACTCTATGTACCTGCAACTTATTATATCAAGGGCTCTCTTCCTCTTTGATTTTCCATCTCCTTGGTTATCTGTTTAGCTAACCACCCTCACCTTAGAGTGTGGTTCTTGCTTGGCTTTAGTGAGGTTTCTCCAAACCCTTTTCCTAACTCTCCATTTCTTCTCCCTTCAGGGGCTCCTCTTTCACCACAACAGGAAGCCAGACACAAGACACTTACATTTTTATTGAAAAATCCCTATTATGTATACCTTAATGTGCTCTGAAAGTCTCCTATTGCATTGCACTATAGAGTGCACACTGTGGTGCTTGTACACATACGTACACACCATGGAGATGTGCAGGATGCAAGTGTACAAGACTATGTATACAGTATATATGTGAACATTATATACACAAAATGCATGTAAATCTAACACACTATTATATGTGTAAGCATGAATGTATTTATGCACTATTTAGATGCTATATATGCACTAACACACCATATACACACAGTGTACCTAAGTGTGTACATGCTGTACATCTATGATATATTATACGTGTGTAACCCTGCTTGTATAGATACTCTATATGTGTGAACAATGCACACACACTACATTACTACTTTTTGTCCAGCTTAACATTTATCTCTGACTCCAGCTCAGTGCCTAGTTCTTGGTATATATTAGTTCAGCGTTAGAAGGATTTTAGAAGTACTAGGAATACAACTTTGCTATTAATCATGGCTTTCTTTAAAACATCTCATTCCTTTCCACCCCCACATCATTAGTATTACTCAGGCTAAACTCACATCTCGTAACCCCTGTTCTAGAGAATGTGACAGTCTCCTTGGAAAGAGAGTCAGGCAAGCAAGTTCATCTAATCTAATATGACCAATGATGTAAAGGTTTATCATAACAGCTTGATGAAGTCCCCCCCCAACAAAAAAGGAATGGGTTATTGGAGATAATTCATGGAATATTTGTGTGAGTTCACCTGGCAGGGTAAAGGCTCTACCTGGAGGAAGACAAAGCAGTTGCAAAATTAGAGAGAGACGGAAGAATGTGACATTCTTTATACCTAGTAGGAGTCTCAGAGCACTGAATGAGCCAGGAAGGAACTTTAGGAAATATATGCCCAATGAGGCAGTCAAGTCCTAGGCTTGGTGATCAGTGGTGAGCATTTGCTGTGAGCCTTTTGACAAGCCACGGGAACTGTTAGGACTGCTTACGCGTTTGCAAGTCACGGGTGTTCCAAGACCATATGTCAAATAGGGTTGCTATAATTTGTTGATTGATAATGAGTAGATGGATGAAAGTGTGGAAAGCTAGACTTGGGCAATGAAGGAGGTTGACAGGGTTTCCCACAAATTTAAGGAAAGGAGTGAAGCAATTGTACTTGGTTAAAGATGAAAATTAGCAACAGAATATTAGTGGTTATTCCAGTTAGGAGGCGATGATAGATTCTGTCTGGATGTAGTTGTGGCTTTACTGTTTATTACCTTTGTGACCTTGAGTGAGTTACTTAATCTGTCAAAGGCTCAATTTCCTCATCTAAACTAAGAGGGGTGGTTGTCCTACCCTTACAATTGTGGTGAGGAATAAGGAAAATAACATTTAAAGAATTTGGAACCTGCCTGATATATAAAACACTCTCTGTAAGTCGTAGCTCCCTTGTTATGAATTTTTTTTGTTGCAAAAATAGTTATTACAGATGAGAGATAATGAGATAATTCTTTGGGGAAGATACCCATCAGTGGAATAGCTGTGTCAAATGGGACTTCCAATCCTAGTTCTTTGAGGTATCTCCATCTGATTTCCACAGTGGCTTCACCAATCTACACTCCCACCAGCAGTGGAGCAGAGTTCCTCTTTCCCCACAGCCCTGCCAGAATTTGTTATCCATTGATTTCATGATAACAGTGATTCTTTCAGGGGTGAG